TGTATTAGACAGTGTGGTAAAAAGTAACACATTAAAAATGATATTTAAGTTTTTGACAAATGCTTATTTATAACAACAGAGACGTTCATTTTCATAACTTATATATTAATTGATTTCTGATTCAAATCCACATATATTTATACTAATTTATTAACGAACATAATTAAGTATGTAGTTAATTACTATTTGGGCGGATATACTGGTGGTATATTTAATTAATGGTATACTCTTTTATAAAGATTTAAATAGTTTTCTAATTTAAATCGTTTTACTAAAAACTATAATATTACTAGCCTGTACATTTGTTATTTTAAAAACAATCTAAAATGTCAATATTCCATAGGTATATTGATAAATGAGGTGTAAATTATAAGAAAATGCATTTTCTACGAAAACTTGGAGGAATAGGTAAGAAGTGGTATAATACAATTTGATAGACAATTAAATTGTGCATCTGATACTCATAAAATATACAGGGTGTCCTATTTAAAGTAAATAAGTTATTGCCGTTTGAAGCTTGTAATTATTTAAAATAAATTTTTAGACACTATGTATAAGGTAGTATAATTTTTATTATTGCAACATAATAACTGATCAATAAATAAACTTCAGTAAATATTTAGTATTTAAAACTTTGATATCCTCGGAAAAATGAAGCCTTAAAATGTATACTGCAATTTCGCAAAATTGAAAATATTTCAAAAACGGTAAGGTTTAAGTATAATAAACCTTAATCAAATTTACCTTTATTTTAATCGTAGAAACTAAAAATGCAATAATATACAGGGTGTTCCTTTTAAAAAAATACAACTTTGATATTTTTTATTTATTTGGAACACTCTGTATCTTGTAAAAATATATTTAAATTGTAGCTCTAATAGTCCTCCAACGAACCCAAAACTTACAATTTGTAAAAATCTAATCGTTTAGCTACAATACTCCGTGTCGTATATGGTGAACAACCCTGTATAATATAATTCTATAAGGATTCTTGCTACTTAACTGCTTATATATAGAAATTTAATTCTACGCTGTGTTTGTCATAATGTGGATCAACCTGCTCTCACTACCGCTTTCGGAGCCCTACTCCATCATCAGGTGAGCTTGGGCAGATCCACAAAATGACAACCACAGCGCAGAGATAGTTAATTCCGACTTGTCGAAAAGTGTCGGTTAGATATTAAGTCCCGAACGGGAGATAGCGGCCGGCGTGCAATGGTAGTACTTTCGTACCCCCGGGGCGCAACTATCGATAGTAAAAGGATGGTAAAAGGCTTTTTTTCAGGCAAGCCAAATTATAAAATAGAAAACAAATTTCTTAATATCTAACCGACACTTTTCGACAAGTCGGAATTAACTATCTCTGCGCTGTGGTTGTCATTTTGTGGATCTGCCCAAGCTCACCTGATGATGGAGTAGGGCTCCGAAACCGGTAGTGAGAGCAGGTTGATCCACATTATGACAAACACAGCGTAGAATTAAATTTCTATATATAAGCAGTTAAGTGGCAAGAATCCTTATATAATTTTATTACTACAAAATAATGTTAATAATGTTTTTAATAATAGAAATATAGTATATCTACTAGCATACCAAATTACTATTGATGTTTAGAGTTCTTCCAAATTCTTACAAACTCAAAAAAAAACGTAACCGTCGACATATGATTCTCCAGTATTATTATTCTCTGTAGAAGATATGGAATATTCAAGATTCATAATAATTTCAGTACTTAATGAAAACGTGGTACTTATATCCTTTTCTTTTAAATAATGTTTTAGAAGTCATTAACATTGCGCTATTAGAGTTAATGAACTGTAGTCTTAATCATTATAATTAATACCGCTTAACATTTTGAACCTGCAAATTTGATGATTTAAATTATGTGGAAATTATATTATATTGTATTGTTATAACGTGAGTATGTCAGGAATATGTGAGATTTTTATTTTCATTTGGGGAAATTTAAAAAGCTCTATCTCTTATTACTATTTACTCTCAGTACTCTTACCGTACCTACAAAATGAAGGTACCCAAGATATACAAACTATATGTAAACAAGAAGTAGCTAGGTTGTACTTATTTATTAAAAAAAATATTATTTCAATTAAATTATAAATATTACACCTCACTGTCACTCTTTTTTATGTTAATACATTTATTTATTTAACACTGTTTTCTGTTTTTATAAAGGCCCTGAAACTATGCCAATGATGTAGAGAATTCTTGAAAAAAAGAATTATATTAAGTCTGTGGTCAAATCAAAAGTCATTTTATATGTAAAATTATATGGGGAATATCATCGATGTTCATTTCCAAGTCAACTGGACGCCGTATTTTTTTCGATCAAATGGTATTTGTTGCAGTAAGTTCTGCAATAAGGAATAAAACTGTTGAAAAATAAATAGTGCTACTATTTTTTGCAAAAAAATATGACGCTAATAAATGTTTATATTGATTCCATTTAACTCTTTCTATCGAATAAAGTCAAAAAATACAAAGGGTGCTATTTAAAAATCAAAAGTTGTAGTCATTTCCGGTGAAACAGGAAGTGACCGAAAACAATTGAATACGCCAATCAATCCTAATTCATGTTATACTAGTTGAAGCCTGGCGCATCCGCCACGATATCAGAAAAAAAAAACTTTTTATTTTTTTTAATTAACTGAAAAACAAAAAATCCGGCGACGACAGTTTTTAGAAGAGCAAATTAGCTATCTTTTAGTAAAAAAAACAACTTTCTAGAGCAAGTCGTTACTTCAGTAGAGACGACACACAGATAAACATTAGCATTTTATATATGTAGATACTAACATACCACATCTCGTTTCTTTATCTGAAAAAATAACAAAGTTATAGGGGTGAGCCACTTTTGAGACGCACCCGGTATATTTGTGGTAGGTTTATTGTCGTAACTAGCCACTAACACTACAAAATCAAAACATTTGTTGATTTTTGATAAAAAATAAACCGAGGTTAATAGGTCAGTATATAATAATTATTAAAAGACCGACCACATAATATTATCATCTTTTTTCTTTTCTTGAAATCCTTGAAATATTAGAAATTACTAGATAGTATTAAGAAATTCTTATGACCTTTTAACTCATTACTAATTTTTTAAAGTCGATTTCTGTATATGGTTACCAGATGAAAACTTGTCCACTCCGGGCAAGCCTTTCTAAAAATCGGGACAAAATCCGGACGTCATAATTTGTTAGCGATTTAAGAGCAAAAATAGTGTATTGTTTTATTAGGAGTAAAAATGATACGTTTTGTGGTAAGGCTGTACGTTTGACATTACAGGTGAGACAAAAAAAGTCATTTTTACTCCGGAATAGAACATGCTATTTTTTTTCAAACCCCACAAATAATTTTTTAAACAATTTCAAACGTTCCAAATAATATAAAAAGAGTTAAAAATAATACCTTATAGTAATTATACAGGGTGGTCCAAACTGTATTCCGGAAACTTCGGCAGCATATTCTGCAGATAAAAATAAGTAAAAAAGTTCGTATAAATGTATGTCCTAAAATGTTTTTTTTCAAAGATACAGGGTGTAGAAGTTTCATTTTTATTTCGATTTTTTCTAAATAATTTCTGAAGTAACGTCAATATTTGGATGAAAATTGGTGTCTGGTAGTTTTTTGACATGCGAAATTTGATATTGGTGACAATATGACTCCTACTAGTAAAGGGCACCACCTATATGTGTTTTAACTGTTTTGAAGCGTAATAACTTTTTGTCCGTACCAGTATAAAACTACCGAGCTAAAAAATATACATCTCTGTGACTTTTTACGTAAAAAATATCTCTTTGTAAAAATCGCTAGGAGCAACCGTTCTTAAGATATTTAGCATGGAAATAGACAATACATGTCATTATTGACGAAAAATAAACACGTTGAGTAGATAGTTATTTCACTGAAATAACAAATTTAAGAAATTTTTTTTTTTTTTAAATTAATCATAAATTTTTCTGCAAAAAATTATGATGAAACAGTTTCTGTTGAACTTTTGGTATATAAACATTTCAAATTTTTGATTTCAGCCTAATAACTGTTTAGTCAACATGTTTAATTTGTGTCAATGTTGACACGTATTGATAATTTCAATTCCAAATATCTCGAAAACCATACTCGTAGCGATTTTTACCAAGGGACCTTTTTCACGTAAAAAACGTCGTAAATGTATATTTTGTTACTCAGTAGTTTTATTCAGGTACGGACGAAAAGTTATTACTATTCAAACCAGTTAAAAATTTTGTAGGTGGCGCCCTCTACTAGTAGGAGTCATAGTGACATCAAAATCAAATTTCTCATGTCAAAAAACTCCCAGACACCAATTTTCATGCAAATATTGACGTTACTTCAGAAATTATTTGGAAAAAATCGAAATAAAAATGAAATTTCTACACCCTGTATCTCCGAAACTAAGCATTTTGGGACATACATTTATACGAACTTTTTTACTTGTTTTTATCTGCAGAATATGCTGCCGAAGTTTCCGGAATATAATTCGGACCACCCTTACGATCGTTGAATTTTAAACTTTATGTCAGTTTAATAATATATTTTCAGATGTTTTGGTACTTTCGTGCTTAGGCGTAAAAATGCTTTACCTTTATGCTCAGACGTTAAAATGACTTTTTCATGTTGTCAATCATGTCGCAAAAATTAATACCTTTGTGTAATATATTATTTTGCATTATTGCGACATTTCTTAATGGAACATTAAAATCTGGACGCTTATGAAAGATCAGCCCGGACATTGTCAGTCACTTTTGAGCATTAGTGTCCATGGACTGAATTAGAACGAATGTTCCCTATTAATTTTAGTAGTTCCCATTTAACTATTATTTAATGTTATCACTTATTTAATATTATCACAATCTGATATACTAGTCTTAGTCTAAAATGGCTCACCTTATTTATGAACGTTTTTTTATCGTTGATTAATATTCTCGAAAAACGTATTAATTTAAATTATTTTTTTTTAGTGGACAACGGTACAACAGAGAACAAGGACCCAGATCACCAGCATGTGGATATCATACAAAAATCCATAGGCGTACTGGGCAAGTGGCACATCTGGATTTGCCTGGCCATATTCTTGGTAAAATTTGGAGTGGCGTGGCATCAGTTAAGCATCGTTTTTGTGGCACCTATTATGGAATTTACCTGCTCGAACACAAGCCTGGACAAATGTGATCCAGATTGTCCCAGCCACGTATTTGATAGGTATACGTAATATAATTATCACAAACATTGTAGATTGTAATCTATTGTCGATCTATTGTGTCCTCTTTTTTGAGTTATAACTCATCAGACAGTCTCAGGGCTTTGACAGAAGCCAGTATTTGAGAGACTTTGAGAAACGGTTTTAGAGAGGTTAGTTCTCCATTTTCGATATCAGTTGTACTAAAGTTTATTTGCATTGCACGAATGGTTGTCCTTTCGGCGCACTAAGTGAGATGTTCTGGTGTTTTCCCATTTTCCTCACAGAATCTGCATTCGCCTTTGTTTCTTAGCTTCAATTAGAGGTGTGTACATCGTGAACGAACTAGTTCCAATGTACTATTATTCCGACCCCGGAATGAGAGGAACTAGTTCCCGGTTTCTCAAAGGAACTAGTTCCTCAGGATCTATTCCGGGATCGAGACTGTGACCGATATATAAAAATATGCGACGGATCGGTTAGCGTGATCGTAGCCCGATGCTAGGCAGGAGTGGGGAGTGCTTATGTTATTGGATCCGGACCTAGAGGAACTAAGGGTACTTAGGGTACGTTTATGTTGGAGCTGCGATAAGCGATAAAAGCAGTGAATTAGCGCTGCTCTTATCGTTGCTCAACTGCCAAGCGTGTCTCGATTAATATAATAATATTCTTTGCTTCGCTAATATTGCTGTTCTTATCGTTTATCGCCGCTCCAACATAAACGCACCCTAAGTAAAAGACTAGTTTACGTAGGGATCGGCCAGCGCCATCGTAGCCCGATGCTATATAGGCAGGAGTGGAGAGTGCCAGCCGTATGTTACCTGTCCCGGACCGAAAGGACTGAGAGGAACTAGAAGAACTAATTAAAAGACTAGTTCACGGGAATCTATTCAATCGGCAGATCCGAGATATAATACAAGGCGACGACGATGGATACGGCCTTGTCTATTGTTACAGCTGGCGTAATTACCACCGAAAATTGTCGTGGATACTATTTTTGATTTTTAGTTTGTTGTTTGAATATTTTATGGGAATGTTTCAGTATAGGTCCCCCAAATGAAGTTGAATTTTTAGACAAAAACAACAGGCTTGAAGTCAGGAAAAATGCAATTTTTTGTATTATTTGCTGCAATTGATTTGTGATATAGTTTTTTAAACTCTTATTTGAGTTTCTTTTTTATTTTTTTTATCTGCAATAAAATTTACCTATATGTTTTTAACATACGTAATTACACGTCTCGTTATATTTCGTACATTAAAAAATTATACAGATCATACTGTGAATAATTCTGATTGACAACGAAACCATTAGCAAGCAAGGGGGATGTCAATGTTAGTAGGGAACTACTGTGAACTAAAGACCTAGTTCAAGGAGCTATTCCTCTGGAGGAACTAGAACTAAGGAACTTGTTCCTCCCAAGGAACTAGAATTCCCACCTCTAGCTTTAATCTACTGAGGGGTTTATTGAGAAGCCAGCGTCTTGTGTCCTGTTAAAAACCCCGTGATAATCGGAATATTGTTCTTACTTAAATCAAGGAAAATCTTTAATTTTTCTCGGTCGTAACTCCTGAGAAATTTCTTCGAGTGTCTTAGACCGTTGCAGGATTCCCATTCCAGGTTACGGATGGAGTCTTCCAAGTTCTTGAGTTCCGTTTTTAGGTTTCCATTTGGGAAGTAGACCGGTTCTGGTCCAGTTAGTGGAGTGTTTGCAGCTTTTCTAGCTAAATCATTTGCTTTCTCATTATCCTCTATCTCTTTGTGGGCTAATACTTAGAGTAGGAGGGCTTTCTTTTCTTTGCCTAATTTGATCTCTAAGCATTTGACAAACTGCGAATTGATTGATACTGAGTTGATCGCTTTTAAAGCTGTTTGACTAACAGATAAGGTGGATATTTCTTGTTTCCGATAGCTCCAATTTAAGATAAGTTGTACGCATCTTTCTATAGATTAGTACCTAGTAGTAGATTTCTGCCTGTAGAATGCATGTTTGCTGCTCAAGACCAAAGAGGTGTTTCTCAAAGTTGTACATTCTTGTCATCCACTGGGAGATTGGAATTTTTCTTTTGAGGGTGTTCCAAGCTCCTGAGCTGACAATTCTCCCAGTACTGTTTTCGTCAATAACCATTCTAAGCATTGCGACATCTGTCAATGACAAATATCACAGACTTAACATTTTTTAATTGTTTAGTTATTAGGTTAGGTATTAAGATATTTAAGTAATATTTCTACAAATTTATTACTTTGTAGGTCAGTTTTTTCCGAAACAATCATCTCAGAGTGGGACCTTGTATGTGGAAAGCAATTTTGGGCAGATTTTTCCCAAACAGTCACTATGCTGGGCATTCTTTTTGGAAATATGTTGTTTGGATTCTTATCTGACAAGTGAGTTTATTATATAATAAATTATATAATATATATTATAGTTAATGTTATTAATTAAATAAAAAAATATTTTATTTCAAAATTTATTAGCATAAAACATCATTCAGAACCTCCCAATTAGTGGAATAAATTAGTGGTTTCAATTAAACTTTATACTTTTTAGTTTACGATCATTCACAATATCTAAAAAACACAATTATTATAATTAATAGAATATCCTAGCAACAGCTTGCGGTAATCAGTTATATCCATAGAGAAAGCCTAATATTTACCTTATAAAACAATAAACTTTTAATTTATAACTACATTTAAAAACTACACGGGAAAAACCAGTTTTGTCCATTTTAACTGGAGCCGAGAAAAATGCAATTACGCATGGACTATTCGGGTTATTCCCTTGTACGGCAAAATAACTAAGCTGTAATATCTCTGGGACTAAGCGTATTATTGCTTTCCTTGATGGTTGGTTTGGAATAACGGTATTTGCCTATAGAGTTGTGTCGCTATCTTAATTTCTATGAAAATGTGACATATCTGTTTTTTCCCGTGTAGTCTTCATTTTCTCTTGACGGATCAAGGCCAAAATGACATTCCTCGCAAATTTTGAAGTATAATTAGTGGAAAAGTTAAATGTTTGGTAACTTTTTCTACTAATTTAAAATGTCTACCACTAATTTTGATGTTCTGAATGCTTACATTGAAATTAAAGAAACAAACTTCCATGCTAATTGAAACAACTAATTACGAGGTACTGAATGAAGCTTAAGAATTAGTATAAGAAATAAAAAAAAACTTTTGTTGTAGTAGGGTTTAAAAAAATATATTCGGTCTAATAAGAGGCGTCGAAGCCAAATGTTACCTCAAAAAATCCTCAAAACGCCCTCCTTATTTGTTTGTGAAGCAAGGAGTGTTTATGAATATTGGAGTTTTTTTCATTAGTAGAGATAATGTTCATTCATATATTAGTGATTCTCTAAGGTTACTTATGTCTCTTAGAACATAGACGATATAAATAAATTAATGTGGACACAAGATTTACTTTGTGATGCAGTTTTGAGGCCTTGTAATATTCCACACATACTATAGATTCTAGAATGCTTTCAAGGAACTTTATAAATTTATAACCAGCACTATATACATATGTATTTCAACTTTATAGCAATTATTTATAATGAAGAAAGTGTATCAAGAAAAATTGTACAAATAGAAGTGCCTGGTGTCGCAAATCTGTTTGTTCTAAGTTATCAGGCCATCTTAGAAAGTTTATTTCTTGATAAACCGATTTATAGAAAAAGACATAATACTCACGTTAATTTATAACAAATTATTTTGCTTTTATAAGTATTAAATATTATAAACAAAGATTTTATTATTTATTAATAATATAAAATTATAATTTTTGTAAATATTTGTCTCTATAATTTTAATATTTAGGTCGTTTGATTTGATAAAAGATGATTTCTCGTGTTTTGTCGTTTATCGATATATTGATTTTCAATAAAATTTGTAATTCCTAAAATTTTAACTAAACTTTTTAAAACATAAAAAGATCAAAATTTCGAAAAATAATCTGGAAACATTCTTTTTACTTTCGTAGGAATTGTCCTGGTTTTTGTTTGGTTTAACTAATTATATTGTTACCACAAAACATCCCCCTTTAGAACATTTTCTGTATTAGCAAAGAATATTATAGTTTTAAGATATTCTTTGGTATTAGCAACGACTGGAAGTAAAAGCTATATTGTGCGAACAAACACTAGAGGCTCTGCTAGTCATTAAAAAATTAGCAAATATTCATTTGTTTTTTAAATATGTCAATATTTTTATTTCGTTGTGTTGTGAATATTCGGTGTGTGATTTTGGGAATTTTTTCATTTGTTACTGGTGTATTTGTACTTATTTTACCAATTGTATTTTAATTACTAGCGTGTACCAGCGACTTCGTTCGCGTCGAATTAATCATTTGTAATGGTGATGATAAAGCAAAGCAAGAATTTCCATTATCATACAAACTGGATAAAATTTTCTCACATTTATGTCAGCATGAGAAAAAACAATATGGCGATATTATTATATAACTTGGTAATATTTGAGGGGTAGTTTCATCTCGTTGGAATTTGACTTTCGAAAAATCCGTTTGCCAAAAATAAGCTTTTTATGTCTAGCAGTTTAAGCAGAATCGTGGTTAAGAAATTACCCAACATTTTGGAACACCCTGTATGATTTTTTTAAAAATTTCAAAAAATGTAAAAAAAACAAATAAATGATGCTTATCCAAGCGTTTTCCCGAAAGACTAACCGTTTTTTAAATAACAAATATTGCAATATTTGAGGGGCGTTTTCACCCTCTTGGAATTTGAGATTCGAGAAACCCCTCCTTATTGAACCTCTACACCCCACAGTCAATCCGTTTGCCAAAAATCAGCTTTAAACGTCAAGCAGTTTAAGCAGAATCGTGATTCCTCAATGGTCATATCTTATGAAACACCCTGTATAAATTTATAAAAAATCTTTAAATATGTAAAATAACAAAATAAAATATACCTGTTTAAGAGTTTTTCCGGAAAACTCACCGGTTTTTAAATAAAAAATATTTTAATATTTGAGGGATAGTTTCACCCCCTTAGAATTCGAGTTTCGAAAAATCCCTTCTTATCGAACCTTTACACCCTAAAGTCAATCTGTTTTCCAAAAATCAGCTTTTTACGTCAAGCGCTTTAAGCAGGATCGTGATTAATCAATGACCAGATTTTTCGAAACACCCTGTATATATTTTTAAAAAATCTTAAAATATGTAAAAAAACAAAATAAAATATACGTGTTTAAGCGTTTTTTCGAAAACTTGACCGTTTTTTAAATAAAAAATATTGTAATATTTGAGGGGTGGTTTCACCCTCTTGGAACTGGAATTTCGAAAAATCCCTTCTTATCGAACCTCTACACCCTAGAATCAACCTGTATGCCAAAATTGCGCTTCTTACATTGAGTGGTTTGAGCAGGATCGTGATTAATCAGTATGTCAGTCACTTAAGGATTTTATATATTAGTCTAGATTCGTATTTAATTACAATGGCTTTTTTCGACCGAGAACGCAAATTTGCGAAGAACTGCAGCATTCCTAATTGCGACAACAAAAATGGCAGTTTTTTTCGTTTTCCAAATCCCCGGAAAGATTCGAATTGTTTTGAACGTTTTTTTTTTCAGTTTACAGGTATGTAAAATACATAATTTATAATAACATCAATAATTGTTTTGTTTTTATAAACCTTCGATCGGGTATTGATATAAACATTTTTTTTTGTGAAAAAATAGGTATAATTAAAATGAAATTATATGTTATATACAGGGTGGCGCACCTCATTCGGTTGATTATACGAAAACGAAAAGATGTAGAAACAAAATTTTTTATGGGTATATGTAGAGAGGCAATCTGCACAATTTAAAATTATTTTCAAATGTACAGGGTGTGTCAGAACTAAGATCCATACCAAAGTTATATTTTTTCTTATGGAACACCCAGTATTTTATTTCATTTTTGGATTCTTGGGCATAAAATGAGACATTTATTATAGGGGTTTAATATGTTTAAATACTTTGGTTTTTGAGATATTTAAAAATATTTAAATGTGCATGCTATATTAAAAATGTTTATCAATACCCTGTACATTACTTTTCAGATTTAATTCTTGTGCTGACTTTGAAGGCAGAGAAATAAACTTTACTAAAAATTATATTGCTTCCTTAAATGTTTACAGGGGTATCAAAAATTGCTGGTCTATTTTAAATATTTATTTTACATAAAAACTTCGTTATTTCAAATGCAACACTATGTATTTTTTGAAATAAATCGAAGCAGATTTAAATGCTCTTTCAAACTACATTAGGGTTTCCTATAACTACCTGGCTCAGATTTTTAAAAAAAAGCGATTTTTCAATAAAATGGCAATCAAAATGGTTGGTGTGTCGCCATGGCAATTTGCTAGTGACAGGTAGTAAGTAGTAGCTATTTTCAAAATCGGCATTAGTTTATGGACTTTATTTAAATTTATAACAGTTTACTTTTATTTAATTTACCTAAAATAGTTTAATAAGTAAGAAGTATTTATTATTTTATCAAGAAAAATGAAAAAGTAGTCTTTGAACTATATTACGATGACTTGTAGATATATTGGATTTTCTAAATTATAAATGAACCTATAGAAACTGTAAATAAGTAGTTAAATATTACATAGTTAAATGTTTCATTTATTTTTTTTTGTTTACATTTATTATGATTTATATCAAAAATATTCTTTACTCTTTATTTGATATGTTTGCATAGTGTAGGTATAGTCTTTTTCTATGATTAATATAGATGCATTTTTTTTCGTTTGGAGGATGAATATAAAGGAATAATGATGTGATTATGATAATTTTGAATTATCAGTGATTATTTATTTCATAGATTTAGTAAGAACAGATATCACATTAGACATTTTAACCCGATCAAACAATCGGAGGTTGAATACGTACTGTAAAAACCAACTGAGATAGAGAAGGCGACATTGCCACATCTCAAATTTGCGCCTATCTACTTAGTTTAATTAGCAGAAAAGGTGACTTTAAAACCTTTACCGGATATCAATAAATCTCAATTTCTTAATTAAATTAATAGTTTATTTTTAAAGAAGCATGCGTAATAATATGTTATTAACCAGAGGATATATGCGTTACTATTAAAGGACATGTTTACTGTGTAATGTGCTGAAACGTCTAGAACTATTGGCAACGTCGCTGCTAGTCTTCCAGAATGAAATGAGCCGACCGTCCCACCACCCCTCGCGACGGCCCTTGATCCGTTATAGCGTACTACGTTTAGCTTACGGTGGGTTTGAAGTCGGAATCAAGTCCGAAGTGAACTTTTCAGTGTTTTTCAGTAGTTTTTGCTTTTGTTTAACGTACTTTTGAATCTGCGAATTTTCAATATGGTACGACAGTGTCAAATGTGTGGAAAAATAAGGTCAAATTACCCGAATTTGTCTTTTCACTGGTAGGTATTGTTTCCGCCGCGCCGTAATCGCCGTACATAGGCGTCCCACAAGGGAGCCTCTCACAATTAAAATAATTTCTAATTATATTTGTTGAATTTTGAGCTATTAAAACAAGAACGTAGTAGCTGGTAATTGAATTATAATTCGTCTCAATTACTACTTAACTGTTGTAGATCATAACAAATTTGAATATAAACGTTGGATTTGAAACTTTATAATAAGCCAGAAAGTGACATTTTTTTTCTCTTAAAATTGCTTCATATTTTGGTCATTATATACGATATTCTAAAGGAATTTTGTTCATCAAATAAACAAAGGTGTTTACCCGCCCTTTTTTACATTTTATTGCATTATTATATCTGCCCCTTCGGCCTCGTTTAAACAATTTTTTACCACCGTACAAATACCTCTTCCTAGAGTTATTTGTACGGTGTGTTTACCTTTTTTTAAAATGGGACGAACTGTAAATAATTCTTAGGCTACTAGTTTTATACATACCCATATACAGAGTGACCCAGGCCTCCAAAAAAGCTTTTTACCTATTACGTTTTTGGTTTGTAATTTTCATTTCAATTTTTTATATAAGATGGGGGCCATTGTAACGCACATTTTCAAAATATTTTTGTCAACATACAGGGTGATTCAAACCGCAATACATATGCTTAATACAGTTCATGAAGATTGGGACATTTAACTAAAATTTGATTGTCTGATGAAGCTACCTTTAAAAGTAATGGTTTGTAAATAAACGTAATATTCATTATTATGCGACAGAAATCCCATACTGTAGCACACAGATTTGATACTTTTAATGATAAATTGCCTTCTAACAACAAATGCCTTCTATTGAGAGACTAAAAGGTAATTGCCTCGTATCAGAGCCATCATAATACAAGAAGAAGACCGAAAAGAGTCATATCTTGTCTTTATATTTTCAAAAACACAATTTTCTCATTAAATATTGATTTTAGGTATAGGAAGTTATTAATAATACAAGATTAAACAACTATTACATAGTACTTTACAGGAAGCTATCGATTGCGAACTAACTAAATCGTTACTAATTGCTAATTTTAAAAAGTTCTTTTAAGATCAAAAGGTAAAACTAAAGCCTAAATTATCATTTGAGATTAAACGGAAGTTCTAAATAATGTTGCCTATTCTAAACAAGAAAAATTTATTTATAAGTTTTATAACATCTCTAATTAAATTTGGACGAAAATAACATTTCTGTTTGCTGTAGATAATTTTCTCAGGAAAATACGTAAATAAAAATGACTTTTAAGTAAAAAAAAGTCAAAAGGACAAGTTATTCCAAAAAGGACTGTCCTTTTCAAAAAAGGACAGGTGGCAACCCTAGGTATTTCTGGAATGGAAATTTAATGGCAAATCTACAACTTTAGTTTGAAAATATGTTCCGGCCACCTATGTTTACAAAAATGTCTAAAATGTGCTTTACCATTGCCTCCATATTCTGAAAAAAAAATTGAAAGAAAAGTCACCAGCCACAAACCTAATATAGAACTGTTTCGGAAGCCTGAGTCACCCTATAAATATTCAAAAGTAACTGAAAGTTTATATAGAATCAACTGAAAGTTTAAATTAAAAATCGACGTTGGAGCGATTTTCGAAAACTACCTACTAACGTTTCAACATAAGTATATGTGGGATATTAATTATATTATTATATTAGACTTTATAACAAAACGCATCTGACGAAAAAGTGTGAATGTAGTATATTAATATGGAGTAAACATTTTACTAATTACTTTACTTTTCCTTTACTAATTAAATTCGTTCCAAAAAACGATACGCCACTGGCCATTAGAACAATCCAAATGCGCCTAGTTGCCGGGGTCGGAAATTTTACACTTCTCTGTCTCTTCTGTCCTTGTTTGACACATTGGAATGTTTGATACACTACCAACGAGTATTTATGAATGAGATGTTCGGTCTATATTTATAATGTCTTTGATTTATTTTCTCACATATTAATTTTCATTTCCTGTTGATTTAGTTAATAACAATAAAAATATTTATTTGAATTAGGTACTTTAAAACAGTAATGTTATTCCTTTTTATATCGGTGCCATGAATATATAGCAATTTGGAATAATCATCATTGACAGATAATGAATTTAAATTATGATATAGGTACCTCAATATTTAATTTTACTTCAATTAAAGGGTTATTCTTAGGATAAACTTCAATGTCCTGCTAAATTTTTAAGAGATATTTTAACGAAAAATTGAAAATCATAGCAAGTGATTGTGATGATTATAGTATAGTGATGATTGAATAAAAACAGTGTCAGAGTAGGCATAGAAAAAAATATTTCACTTCAAGTTTTACTATGTGTTATGTCTCTTTCTAAATAAAGTCTGTGATAGCAGATCGCGATATAAAGTCCTTGTTAAACGGACAAAAATAATTACAATAAAAAACATATAATTTTCAAATAAGAATAAAGTATTTTATTCTCATTTACACATATGTACAGGGTGGGTCAAATTCGACGCTTTTAAATGGAAACACCCTTTTTTATAGGAGATAGACAAAAACTAATATCGGTGTCTGGAGCTCAATTTTTGTCAAAAACATGATGGTGAAAACCGCATATCGATATCTCTTACCGTTTCGGAGTTACGGGGTGTTTTTCAAAAATATGCATTTTTAACAAATCACTGAAACTTTTTTGCTATGGAAAATTTTGTATTTTTATGAAAACATTTCCAAAGCACCTTTTTACGTAGAATTTAATGGTTTAAGTATATTTTTTTTTAAATTAATAATTTAAGAATTATCAACAGAAAATTTGATTTTTTATATGGGACACCCTGTATATTTTTAATTTATTGAAAAGGATTTAAAATTACCTTTTCAAAAATGTAACATACTTGATATTTTGCTCGATTTCTCTTCGAGATATAGAGTATATAAAAAATTCGCCCGCTTTAAATAAGTAGGCTTTGAACGGTACCGGCTGTAATGCAAAAAAATTCTAGCTGTGAGCATCAATTAAAACGAAAATAATATTTGCTATGAGAGATGCAGAATGTTATAACAATTTAAAATATATTTAACCAACATCAACACATTTAAACTATATCTAATAACAATAAAAATAAATAGCAAACCAAGACTTGCAACCTAGATTTTGCTACAGGTGTTCGACATATCGACTGTTATCTGTTATGGACAGACAGGGCAGTTTTTGAACATTTCTCGCGGAATTCATTAACTCAGTGGGGGTGAAAGATACCCTTTAATAACTGCTATTTTTAATTCTTGTCTAGATTATACGGAAGAATAAGGAACCTTTTTTCGCAAATATATCCATAGGATTAGATCCATGGGCTCTAAGTCAAACGGCCTCGACGGCCAACGGTTGGGATCTTGGTTAGCTATCCAGTTATTCTTGAAATTGGCTGCAAAAATTTGCTAATAACTTCGTTCAGAGGCGGTGCGTCGTCTTGCTGGAAAAATATGTTTTCGAGTTCCATTAAGGGCATATCATCAATAAGGGGTCCAAAGCCTACTAATTAAAAGTGGCGAACTTTTAAAAATTCTGTATTTCGAAGGGGATTATAACAAAATATCAAGTGTGCTATATTTTTGGAAAGGTAATTTTAAATTCTTTTCAGTTAATTAAAAATATAGAGGGTGTCCCGAATAAAAAATCAATTTTTCTGTTGATAACTCTTAAATTATTAATGTTAAAAAAATTATATTTAAACCATTAAATTCTACGTAAAAAGGTGCTTTGGAAATGTTTTCATAGAAATACAAAATTTTCCATAACAAAAAAGTTACAGCGATTTGTTAAAAATGCACATTTTTGAAAAACACCCCGTAACTCCGAAACGTTAACAGATATTGATATATGGTTTTCACCATCATATTTTTGATGAAAATTGAGCTCCAGACACCGATATTAGTTTTCGTCTATCTCCTATAGAATAGAAAAGGGTGTTTTCATTTAAAAGCGTCGAATTTGACCCACCCTGTACATCATTATAAACAACTGAAATAAACCGAATTTTGGCTCTAAGTAACAGAAAGGACTTAGATTACTTATCTACTTACACTAATGTTTGAATATTTTTAGGTATGGTCGAAAGAATCCTTTGGTATGGGCTGTTATACTTCAGGCTACTTCTGGTACCATTGCTGGATTTTCACCATGGTTTCCTTTGTTTTTGGTTATGAGATTTCTAGCCGCGTTAGCTACAGGAGGTACTATGGTCACTAGTTTTGTTTTAACTATGGAACTTATTGGTAAGTGCGCTAAATTAACATATATACAAATGTCCCTCTACAGGGTGTTTCAAAAAACAGGTGCCATGTCTGGTGGGGAGATTCCTCAACTAAAATTGAGATTTATTATTTATATCAATATCGGTCCCACTCCGCTTTGTATCGTAGCTTCAGGGGGTTAGTTTTTATTTTCTTCGATTTATTATAATTTTTTTCCAAGTACTGTTAGCGATACGAATGAAATTTTGAGGGAAAATGTTACTATAAGTGTGATATATGTTTTACTGCTAAAAAGATGACGACATATTCACCAGGGATGTGCATACAGGTTGTACAACACTGAAATATATTTTATAAAAAAAATGTGCACCACTGAGTTTTTTCTCTCATTAGCAAAATTGTTTAGACCGTTTAATGCCAATTAAAAGTTGTATCTTAATATTTACTTGATGAAATAAACGCAATTTTAGTAATCACAAAATACAATTAAAATAAAATTAATAAATTTATTTATTTTATCTAATTATATGTATTATTTAATCTAATATACTGATGTTCAGTGCTACACTTTGAATAAGAAGACTAAGGAAGGAGCATAATGCTATCCATGTATTCATGCATGGTGGGCGGAAAAAGCACCATAAAAGCACTCTAGGGTGGGGATCCTTGACAGTTCTGTTTGACGATTCATTTGACACATTTGAATTTGATTTGAAATTTTGTGCTTATTTTATGTTATTTATTATTTATTCTACTACTGATAGTTGTATAAAGGTAGTAAATCTAGATGGAAATTGTGGCAGAACTTAAATTAACAGTGACATTATCGCGATTTATCGAAAAAGACTCTAAAATAGTTGGTTGTGTAGCGTGCGGTAGATCTCGGCAAAAATCGAGTGAAATAATGGAACAACTTTTCGCTAGTAAGTGACTATATAATGTACATACGTGTAGTAAACCGATCATTTATGAAATTCACTTAAATTAACGAATTATATATTTTTCCTTGCATTTTTGCTTTTATTTACTACTTGTCAACGATTAGATGTCAAAGAATTTAGATACGTTAATTTGAATTACCTGCTTCAGTAGCGTATCGGATGTTTGTGTTAATAAATACTTATTATAACTTACCTATTTTTATTAGAATTATATATTTTTATAACAATTTTAATAACTACCAACATTTATTCACAACGCAAAATAAAACAACAAATTATTGAGACACTGATAAACCGGAATTTAAGTCGGCCATATTTGAGGCCCATCGCGGTGTACCTAAGATTTTTGATATGCTCCTTCCTTAGTCTTCTTATTCAAAGGTACTACACAACAAATTCCAAATAATGGTATTTAACATAATTACAAAAGACCTACTTTTTTAACATCCTGTAACTTTAAAACTCCACATGCATTTCCCCACCCATGTTTATAGGAACGTTTTTTCATATTTTTTGATGATGAATCAGTGAGTATTTATTTAATACTTTACCCAGTTAATGACATAATTTTTTTAAAGGTTGCTATTAGACTTGGATTAAGGCAAATTAATATAATTGCGTTTATCTCATGAAGGAGACCCAAATATGAAGAGACAGCTTTTAATCGGCATTAAACGGTCTACACAATTTTGCTAACAAGGTAAAAAAAAGTCAGTGGCGTATTTGATTTTTTTAGAAAAAATATTTTAGTGATAACCCATATGCACGTCCCTGGTAAATATGTAGTAATGTACTCTGAAGGGTACTGTACTTGGAAGAAAATAACATTAAATCGAAAAAAATAAGACTACGAAACAAAGCAGAATTGGACCTATTGATATAAAAATAAATCTTTCCAAAAAAATCCTATATGGGTATTTCGCCACTGCACTGCAAGAAAATCTACAAAATAAAATAGTTATTTTTTTTAAACACTTCTGGGTTAAACCCAAACGGAAACTACTTGTCAGAAGTTATATTTATAGTTATACAAATTTGCCTAACAAAGAAAAAAATGCTTAACGTTTCTGAAAGTCTATCTCTTTCCGTCGTCAAAAAGCAAAAAAATACAAAGAATAAAGAAAAAAACTATTTAAAATATTTAAATTCAAACTATTATGAGAACACTAGTTTTTTTAAAGCAGATACGTCTACAAGAAACCGTTGACGTTCTGTTAAAATGACATTATATCATGTTAAACTTCAAAATTAACAATAATTACTACCTGATAACAATTACTTAATAAGGTAAAACCAAGGGGTAAAACCAAAAAGCCCCTAACTTTCTGTATGATTATTTTTAAATTTTACGTATGTTATGTTTATTTATGTTCTGTTCTTTAAAATCAAGGAAGCGATTGCCATACATTACTAACATCTACAGATGCATGAGCAATACATTTATTTTTATTAGATTGTATTAAAAAAACCCTTTTTTTTTCTTTTTTAATTTTTCGTTTTTATTTATTTCGCTTTTTTCATTATAATTTTGGCGTTATCAAAATCTACTCTGTACCCTGTGTCCCATGAATGCTGACAAATCTTAGATTTGCGAAAATATCCCTTTCTTAAATAATCTTTATATTCTTTAATTCTAATATTTAAGGGCCGAGATGTTTCACCAATGTAAAATTTATCGCATTCACATGGTGTTTGGTATATTACATTTTTTGTTTGTTGTTCTGTATTCATTGGTTTAGTATGCGATAAAATGGATCTAAGTGTATTTTGTGTTTTGAAAGATGTTCCTGTGTTATATTGTTTTCCTATCTTTCTTATTTTTTCTGAAACGCCTCGTATGTATGGAATTGTAAGTTGTATATATTGTGTATTGTTATCATTGTGTCTATGATTTGGGGTTTGTATTTCGTTTAATGTTTTGTCAATAAAATATGGTGGATAGTCGTTTTTTATTAATGCATTTTTTATGTGGTTTATATCTCTGTTTAGTGAAATGTCGTCTGAACATATTATTTTTGCCCTATCATATAAATTTTTTATAACACCTTTTTTACACTTGTACTGTGGTTAGATGTGAAATTTAAGTATCTATCTGTGTTTGTGGGTTTTCTGTAAACATCTAAAATTAATTTATTTTACAACTTTGACACTAAAACATCAAGAAATGGCAAACGATTTATTGAATAAATCTTGTTTTTACGTCAGGAATTCCTCAACGAGAGATGGCACATGTTTTTTTAAACACTCTGTAAATTGTCTATTTGAAACTAGCATCTTTTTAGTTCGTGTATTTTTGATTATAAAAAAATATAATATATACCAATACCTATATGGTTATAACCAGAGGTTATTTATAACCGTAGAACTTTTATTTATATTTGAAATCCAGTCTTCCGCGTTATAATGTAACTACACGATTTGAAAGATTAAAATTCTTGCACTACTTAATAACTGTACTTCTGACCATATTCTGTACCTACGTTTGTTCTTTTTTTGCAGGAACCGAATGGCGGACAGTGATTTGCATTTTATACCAGATTCCGTTCAATCTGGGCCACCTTAGTTTACCATTATTTTCGTACTACCTGAGGAACTGGCGCTATTTTCAAGCGTCCATTTCGCTACCATCGATTCTATTGGTTTTCTATTATTGGGTTCTTCCTGAGAGCCCAAGATGGCTTCTGGCAGGTAAGAAATATGTTTCAAAGTATTTGTAAAATGTAATTATAGGGCAATTCAAACCAAATAGACTTTTAGTTACGTGATTAAACTTGACCGGTACAGTGTTGCCGGTATATAAACAATTATTATTTGCATCAACAAAACCCACCTGCTTAACAGCACTTAAGGGACATAAAGGGCCATTACTACGGCTACTATACCGGGTGAGTCTCAAAAGTGGCTAACCCCTATAACATTTTTATTTTTTCAGATAAAACAACGAGATTTGGTATGTTAGTATATCACATAAATTAGGATTGATTGACATATTCAATTGTGTCCGGTCACTTCCGGTGTCACCGGAAATGACTACGACTTTTGATTTTTAAATAGCATCCTCGGTATTTTTTTACTTTATTTGATAGAAAATGACACACTGAATAGAATAACATATCATATGTCAACTTTTGACATTTTCGCATTTATGGTTTATTTGAAATTATAACATGCGGTTCATAACGACTATTTGACTCGAAATACCAAATGTGTGGTATCAAATTATTCGTAAGGAAATGCTTTTTCCAAATATGCTAATGAGCCACCCTCACTCCATTTGTAAAAATTGAGATATAATTAAAAATACGAATTGGGCATTTTTTAACCGGCCAGGACAAGACACTAAAAACATTAGACGATCAAATCCATTTTTCCAAGGCTCCTTGATTGAAAATTAGTGTTTTTAACACAGCCATGACATTCTATAGATTGAAATTTAAAATACAGTTTGTTTTAGAGCGAATATGTCAAAATTTGACATATGATATGTCATTCGATTCATAGTGTCATTTTCTATCGAATAAAGTAAAAAAATATCGAGGGTGCTATTTAAAAGCCAAAAGTTGTAGTCATTTCCGGTGAAACAGGAAGTGACCGAAAACAATTGAATACGACAATCAATCCTAATTTATGTCTTATACTAACATACCAAATCTCGTTTTTTATACAAAAATTAAAAAAGTTATAGGGGTGAGCCAGTTTTGAGACGCACCCGGTATAAGGTTGCGATGATTTTCTTGCAACGACTGTTAAGCTGCTTCGGTATCTTGTACACTTCATACTAAAAACTAACTATTCTAAAAAGAACAATTTTTGACTGCTAGTAAAAAAAATAAGCTTAAAGTAAATCAAGCATTTACTTAAACAAAAAACTTGTAATACAAAACTAAAGTGTTAAAACGAATCAACATATCAGGAATCCAGTCAGACCGGCGCCGGATATGTTCATGGTTGGCAACAATGAATTTAATAATCGTGCTGTAGATGATGTAACTAAAAGTTTATTTGGTATCGCTTATATGAATGTATTATTAGATTACTTTTTTAGAAACTAAATGTGCAGAACATCAATTTATAATTTTGGTGTACAGAGTGTTCTTTAATGTCATGCTAATATTCAAGGGGATGATCAAACGGGGGTCATAAAGATATCTATAATAACACCAGAGTTATTTCAGTTATTACGAAGTTAGTATTTGAATGAAATGATACATTTTTTATTCTTTTAAGAGGGTGGGCTACAACGACGTCCCGTAATCCTGCTGTTAAAACAGGAAGGATTAACAGCAGGATTACGGGACGTCGTTGTAGCCCACCCTAAATTAGTCATAATTTTTTCTAAAAAAATATGAGGAAAACAGTTTCTGTTGAACCTTTAGCACAAAGACATTTCAAATTTATGATTTCAGTCTAAGTCAACATGTTCGATTTTTGTTAACTATTGAATATTTCGATTCCAAATATCTCGAGAACAATAGTTACTCGTAGAAAGAGACCTTCTTTACGCAAAACACGGGGGAAATGTATTTTTTTTCATTCAGTAGTTTTCTACAGGTACGGGTGAAAGGTTATTACTCTTCAAAGCAGTTAAAAAAAAGGTAGGTGGCGCCCGCTACAGTAGGAGACATCGAAATAAAATTTCTCATATCAAAAAACTCCCAGACACCAATTTTCACCCAAATATCTCTATCCAGACCAGAAATAATTAGTATTAAAAATTCAAAAGAAATGATTTTTTTCAATCGTCACAAAAGTGTTATTTTTTGCCACCGTGATTGACAATACCGGGTGCGTCTCAAAAGTGGCTAACCCCTATAATATTTTTATTTTTTTCAGATAAAACAACGAGATTTGGTATGTTAGTATATCACATAAATTAGGATTGATTGACATATTCAATTGTTTCCGGTCACTTCCGGTGTCACCGTAAATGACTACGACTTTTGATTTTTAAATCGCACCCTCGGTATTTTTTTACTTTAATCCATAGAAAATGACACTCTGAATCGAATGACATATCATATGTCAATTTTTGACATAGTCACTCGAAAACAAATTCTATTTTAAATTTCAATCTAGAGTGCCATGGCTGTGTTAAAAACACTAATTTTTAATCAAGGAGCATTGGAAAAATAGATTTGATCGTCTAATGTTTTTAGTGTCTTGTCCTGGCTGGTTAAAAGATGCCCAAATCGTGTTTTTAATCATATCTCAATTTTTCCAACTGGAACGAGGTTGGCTCATTAGCATATTTGGAAAAAGCATTTTTTACGAATAATCTGATACCACACACTTGGTATTTTGAGTCAAATTGTCGTTATGAACCACATGTTACAATTTCAAATAAACCATATGCCGAAATGTCAAAAGTTGACATATGATATGTCATTCGATTCAGAGTGCCATTTTCTATCGAATAAAATAAAAAAATACCAAGGGTGCTATTTAAAAATCAAAAGATGTAGTCATTTCCGGTGAAACCGGAAGTGACCGAAAACAACTGAATACGTCAATCAATCCCAATTTATGTCATATACTAACATACCAAATATCGTTGTTTTGTCTGAAAAAATAAAAAATTTATAGGGGTGACCCACTTTTGAGACGCACCCGGTATAAAAAACAATATAAAAATACGAAAATATATTATTAAACTGACATAAAGTGTCAAAGTCAACAAGCGTAACCATAGTTTCTCGATATATAATTACATACAGGGTATGACTTTTAAATCTTTTTATAATATTTGGAACGTTTGAAATTGTTTAAAAAGTTATTTGTGGCGTTTGAAAAAAATAGCATGTTCTATTTGGAGTAAAAATTACTTTTTGTATCTCGGCTGTATGTCAAACGTACAGCCTCGTCACAAAAAGTGTCATATTTACTCCTAATAAAACAATATACCACAATATATTATTACTATAAACCAACTGAAAGAGAATAAATAGAATAAACTAAACAAATATCAAAACTAATTTCAAAAATTTCCAACTGTTAAAAATAAAAGACATTTAACAAAGATAAACATCTCTAGAGGTCATAAATGTTTAATAATAGGATCAGAATAATTTATTATAAATAAGAAAAAATGTCTTCTAAAATGTTGAAATATTATCAGAACTGCTGTTACTATTTAGCCTTAGTTATATAGAGTTATATTTAAAACTTTTTTGAAATGTATATTATGTGCCTTATATAAATTATTTCAAAATATGATATTTTAGTTGCATATAGACTCAAAATGTCCTTTAGAAAATTTCCAGCGTCGTATATATAAGATAAAAACACCGTTCTTGGTACTATTTATTGTATGTGCATAACTAACATTTCTAATAATTCTAAAAAGTATATTATAAATACTAATTTTAACGACTACAACTACTAGTAATCCGCGATTCCATGAATTGCTATATTAATTTGTTTTTAATGATTTATCTACTATACTTATTTCTTATGTACACTAAATTTTAGATTATTTTATGGGTTTGTTCCAACATGACAAAGAACCGTTGTTGGTACGGTGTTGTACGGTGATTACACTTATACACAGTAGAGAAAATGCGGTCCACCAACAAGAGAATCATTTAGCGAATGACAACTTTTGCGTTCCAACGTTCCAACCAGGCCCGTTCCTGGGGTATCTGGCAGTCTTTGGTGCGTCCTTTTTTAAATCAATTATATATTTTAATCTTAATCTCAAACATTTAAAGAATTTATATTCTGCGACAAACGAGCAATATGTAATTGGGAATGTAAAACTATTCTAATTAAAGTATAAAAACATTTATTAAATAAATAAAACAAACAAAACCACAAATATTTAGTAACAAAAATAGTACCCTAAAGAAAAAAACTGACGCATTTTATATGAAATACATAAAAACAATAAACTAAAATTCGGAAATAATACACATGTACTGATTACTTTCGAAAATCGACAACTATGTAACTATGGACTCTTCCCGGACACAAACGGTACATTGTGAGACAGGAAATTGTAGAGAAACAAGCCCTATAACATAGGATACAACATTTTAATGAACAGTGCTTTCCATAAAATCAATAAAATGAAAAAAATACGAAATAATATACATGTACTGATTTCTTTCGAAAATCGACAACTATGAAACTATGATCCCTTCCCCGACACAAACAGTACATTGTGAGACAGGAAATTGTAGAGAGAAAGAAGCCCTATAACATAGGATACAACATTTTAATAAACAGTTGTTTCCATAGTATATCATTAAAATGAAAAATATACGAAATAAACTACGAAATATGTACTGATTTCTTTCGAAAATTGACAACTATGAAACTATGAACCCTTCCCAGACACAAACAGTACATTGTGAGACAGGAAATTGTAGAGAGAAACAAGCCCTATAACATAGGATACAACATTTTAATGAATAGTGCTTTCCATAAAATCAATAAAATAAAAAATATACGAAATAATATACATGTACTGATTTCTTTCGAAAATCGACAACTATGCAACTATGATCCCTTCCCCGACACAAACAGTACATTGTGAGACAGGAAATTGTAGAAAGAAACAAGCCCTATAAGATAGGATACAACATTTTAATGAACAGTGCTTTCCATAAAATGAAAAATAAATAGATGACATCAATTGTGTTGCCGACAGATTGCCCTAGACTTGTTTATTCGGTGCGGCCAACGCAAAA